ACACACACACACACACACACACACAGACACACACATACACACACACACACACACCGACCAGTGAGCGTGTGGCCCGCCGCTCATCTCACTCAGACGTCGATCTATTTCGCCTTTGGCATTGTGGAGAAATTGGCAAACACTGGAATTGTTTTAAATCTGTATTCATCACCGACACTGTCTGCCTGTAGTTAGGTCTGCCTATTTTTACTCCTGGAAATCTATTTGTGTGTGTGTGTGTGTGTGTGTGTGTGTGTGTGTGTACGTGTGTACGTGTGTACGTGTGTACGTGTGAACGAGCGTATTTGTACGTGCATGAGTGATGAACAGAAATTATGACGTATCGAGCCCCCTTGAACGTGTTGAGGACCATTGAAACAGGATACAAAGATATTCGGCCTTGCTTGTTGAGAGTTCAGGGCAACATTTTTCACGACGTTCTAGGACCGCTAGCTTAGAAGTGCGACGCGTCGAACAACCAAATGCTGTATCTTAGTCTTGACCCCCTGACCTCCTCGTGACTGCGGTATGGACACAAGATCTTCAGACACCAGACACCGTTGTATCGTCCATGAGACTTAAATGGCTTACTGATAACTTGCTGTAGAATTATAATAGGCGCGATGTCATGACACGGTTTAATCAGGCGCTCGGCGTCACTTTTTGGGCTTATGGAGTTAATGATACCATCGTAAAGCTTGTTGGTTTGTCTTGTCAATTTTTATTTTAAAACAAAAAGAATCTTGAATAGAAGTCAAAGATATCTAGCTGCGGCTGAAGGAGGTGGATGTCGGCTTGTATCAGTGGCAAAAGTAGCGAGAAAATGGCCGATTCAGTTTAATGACTTCCAAAGTTGGATTAAACGTTGATATCTCTTTTGGGACGTGGGACGCTCAGTGTTAAAAACAATCAGGAAACGACAAATGCAGTTTTTGGGACACCTGAATAGACATAAGGGTCTTGAACATCTAACTCTCACTGGCAAAATTGAGGGCAAGCGAGGCAGGGGTAGGCCCAGAACAACATACTTAGGGAACCTAAACAAATGGGTACGGTAACAGGGAAAGATCAGGGAAACGTAGCTTTTCTGAGAGCATCCGAGCAAAGGAATGAATGGAGAACCATGGTTGCCGATGTCTGTCGCAGATCTGGCACTGGATGATGATGATCTCTTTTGGGCCTTAGATCAACAGTTTTCAGTAAAAAAAAACCCCAACCCTCACAGAAATATGTTTTTAAAAGGACACGAATAGCGCTGAGCAAAAGCTAAAAAAAATACTAAAAAGAAAAAAATCCTGAGAAACAAAAGATAAATTACGAGACTGGCGGAAAATGTCAGTCTCTTCGAGAGCATTACTTTGACGAGCGCCTGATTTCACGACGATGCCACGCTGGGATCTTTGCCTCTTCAGCGTGTTGTGGTCTACTTTGGTCGTCAGAATACGTAAAGCAGCATTCCTTATTCTGTGATGATATTTGTGAGGCAGCGTGGTGGAATCAAGCTCTCGTCAAAAGTGAAAAAACTTGCATTTTTTCCTCGGGTTTGTGAATTTTTATCAAATTTTTGTTTTTTGGCTCAACACCTTTCATGCCCATTAAAGAACTCATTTCAGTGTGCATTTTTCTGAAAAGCGTTGATTAAAGGCATAAACAATGTAAATCTTCAGTTATCACGGACTCTAAAGCTAAGGAAATAACTAATCTTTGGCGGCCATTTTCTCACTAATTTTACCTCTGAAAACAGGTGACCCCCACCCCACCTCCTTCTTTTGCAAATATCTCGACTTGTATTCAAGATAAATGGATATTTTTTGCAGTCAAATAAAGACAAGTGAACAAGCTTTAAGATGGTACCAATAACTCTACATGCCCCAAAAATAACAAGAGCCTGATTCCACCACGCTGCCTCACATTTAATATCGTATGTGTGTGTGTGTGTGTGTGTGTGTGTGTGTGTGTGTGTAAGTCTGTCTATAATTAGCCTGCCTATCAGTTCCGTTCTATTTCTCTGTTCTTCTCTGTGTATCTGCGTGTCTGTTGTGTTGTGCTGTGTGTTGTGTGTTGTGTGTGTGTGTGTGTGTGTTTGTGTGTGTGTGTGAGTGTGTGTGTGTGTGTGTGTCTGCATGTGTGTTGTTGGAAAGGGGAGAGGGTGTGCCCACGTGTGTGTGTGTACGTGTGTATGATTTACCTGCTGATCCCAGTTTATTAAAACTGATCTTTGTATTTTTTTTTAGATTTCACAACATTTTCTATGCACTGTTAGTTCAAGGGTCATTACTAACCAGTTCTGTTGAAACGATGTTCATGTTTTTTTTTCCGGGAAAGGTCAATCAAATTTGAAAATTTTGTAGGGTCAGAACATCGGGATGAGGTGACATGTCTTTTACTGATAGTCTAGCAACCCCCCCCCCCCAAAAAAAAAGGAAAAAAAAAAAGAAAGAAAAAAAAGAAAAAAGAAAACGGAATACCCATTTAACTCTACAATACGCCAAAATCCAACTCCGAGTTTGTTTATTGGTCAAGTTTGTAAATAGTGAGATTACGTTACAACGTTGCTATGGCAATGGCAATTGTCTCTCTCTCAAAACATGCTGTTGTTTTGGTAACTGCTCATGTTGTTAGTTTAATCTTGACCAGAATCTAAGGCTGAAGTTTTATCTACAGCTTATCGTATATATCCATTCGAGATGGGTTTTTTCTAGTTCAAATGTCATGGGGTGGGGTAGAGTTGTCATCACAGTGCAGAAGGTGGCGTCGGTGGTCTAGTGGTTAGGCTAACGGACACGTAATCGTGAGGTTATCGGTGGTCTAGAGGTTAGGCTACCGGACCCGTAATCGTGAGGTTGTCGGTGGTCTAGTGGTTAGGCTACCGGACCCGTAATCGTGAGGTTGTCGGTGGTCTAGTGGTTAGGCTACCGGACCCGTAATCGTGAGGTTGTCGGTGGTCTAGTG